TTGAGATTTCCAAAGAAACACACGATCACCATATTCCCTGCAAAGTGCAGACTGGAGAGACAGTACTGGTACCCAGTGTTGGGAAGGTGACTTTTGAAGTGTATTCCACTACAGATTACAGAGTACATGCCCCAAAATGTAGTTTGTAACGTATTCTGTTAAGTTACTCAATGTGAGTAAGGCATCCTGAATACTTTACTATTGTCCTGCTTTTTACAACTACATGAATGTACTACTGCTGTGTGATTTATTAGTGTTACTGAGGCACCCCCGCGCTGGCATTAACTGAGGTTAGGTCAGAGTCTGCTTTCAGAACATGATTATTTGCAGCTAGCAGCTTGCTAATGCTATCATCAGTCTAACAGACTGCAGGCTAAGAGTTGTCACTAGTGATCACGAGCTTCATCACGAGTCAAGGTGTGATACAAGAACGGAGGCGTGATGAGTATGTTTCAGGTGGAACCATTGTGAGACCTTGCCTTACCCTGTCATGTGACCTGCTGAGGTTACCTGATGTAAATGTCTGGCCAGAGTTTTTCAAAACTGTATCGTAGCCAGCAGACAGTTGGTGATGTAAGGCTTTATTTAAAGATGATGATTCACAGTGGACATAGATAACTTCTTTCACTCCTCTTTCAAACTTCTCTGTCCACAATGTGAACACTGACATCCTCGACAGACCTTTGTCCTTGAGATGCAGATGTTCTGGTAAACTGGTAAACGTCAGTGTTGAGGTTTCCGTTCACCTCCATGCGCGCGGCACAGTCCAGAAACAGTGAGCAGTTATCCTTTGTGTCTGCCCTGGTGTGTTTCTATCCACAGAGCTCATGTGAGCAGTGAAGGCTTCTGCTTCCTGGGTTCTGACCCAGGTGTCATCCACGTATCTGTGCCAGTGGCTGAGTGCTTTGTTTTCCTCCATGTAAAGGTTGGCTATAATGGGTGACACTGGGAGCCCATGGCGCACTCATGTTTGTGTCTGTAGACTCTCTTGGGTTTAAACACCTCAGGTTTTAGACTTGCAGACGCTTCTTTGATGGCAGGTGAAACAGAAGAAGTCCAGTACCTTCGAAGCTTCTAGACTACCATGAGCTGGACGCCTCAGAGCCTACACAGACATAAACTGTGAGGTGTTTGTCCTCCACAGAACACGTTTGAAGGTGTCTTCTCGCAGCCATCTCTACTGGATATACAGTGGTACCTAGCTGCTGGAAACCACGACCATATTGGCAACATCTCAGCACAGATGGCTTACTCTAACATATCCCACCGATGGTAAATATCAAGCCAAGGTTTGAGTGAGAAGGTCAGTCTTCTCACACCTGTAGCGTTGACCTGAACTAGTTATCATGTGACTTGCATTAAGATCATGTTTCAGGCGTTGCTAAAACGTGTTCTGATGTTTCGTACACTCGTTTCTGTGATACCTGAGATGATTCGAGGTTCCAGACCTCAGTGTTGCTCAGACGTTATGATGTGTTGTCTCTGCAGGAACTACCCAGCTCTTTATTACGATCTCCAGTTTACTGTTCCACACACAAACGTGTCCGTGAGCATCCTGATGATTGATACTGTGGTGCTCTGTGGAAACACAAATGACCGGGTCCAGCCTGTGGGACCAGAGGACTCCACGGCAGCAGCAAACCAGTGGAACTGGATCAGTGCTAAACTGGCCAGCAGCAGGTGATTCGTTTGACCA